CGCTATTATGAGCTGGAGATATTGATTGATAAAACGTTACATAGAATTTTATTATCAATAACAAGAAAAGTCCGGTATGTCTTTAGATGAGCATTTATTTTAATCAATGAGAGAAGGATTGGTGATGGTAGATATTTTCTCTCTTATATTTCTCGGCCGAATTCGGTATATTTATCTGATATGCACAGCGCAGGTTCCGAAAAAGACAAACTGATGGTTTCTAAAGTATCTGTTCGAAAATCTGCACATACTTTTCTGTTTTGGCTCATTATTGAGTCAGATATACTAAAATCGGCAAACGAAGATGTAAAGACAGCATGAAAAATCACTATCATTTAGCAACATTATCTTCTAATTATAAATAATAATAGCTCTTCAAATAATTTTCTAATGTACGGGCAGATATTTCCTATATGACGTGCCATTGCGAAGTGATTAAAGCTATTGAAATGTTTTAATCTCAGATTCTCTGGTATGAAGGAAATTCTACTGATTTCGAACTCATTTTACAGCGCACTGGAAACCCCATGATGCTGTATCACATTATCTATTGAGTTCACTCTAGTTTCTGACATTTACTCGCCTTGAAAAACTGCTAATTTAGTTTATCAATATTGAAATTAACGTCAGACAATGTCACTAGTGGACAAAAGTTAATTACAATAATTTTGGATTTTTCGGGATTTTTGGGATTATTTGGGATTATTTGGGATTATTTGGGATTATTCGGGATTATTTGGGATTATTTGAGATTATTTGGGATTATTTGGGATTATTCGGGATTATTTGGGATTATTTGGGATTTTTGGGATTTTTTCGGATTTAAAATCCCAAAAAATCCGCTTTTCCCCCCTTGGCTATTTATCTCAATCTTGACCATCTGTTGAGAACTAACTTTTTTTTTGACAGGAGTCCCTTAATAGATAAATAGTTATTGAAAAATTGCAAAGTCGAAAAATCAGCGGATCAAAAAAATCTTTTTCGTGCTTTCCTCATATTTCAATATCGCAAAGGCGCATCGTCCATATCCGTCCAGTTTTGTTAATGTTCGAAAGAGCATATTAAGATGCAGGGCATAACATCACCCGATTTTTAAAATAAGATCTTTTTTTCATGATTCAAAACTCGAGGCGACGTGATGCTCTGCATATTGACATACTCTTTCAAACCAAAGACTATTGGACGAGCTCGAATGTCAAATGAATTGTTTTCAGCTTTGTTTGGTCTACAAATTCTATTCTGGGCTGAGATCGATTTTGGAGCGCGGCCTTAAGAATATATCAAATATGACTGTTTATTCCATTTCAATTAATTCGAATAATCATTTGAGATTTGTTTTTTGATTGTATATGAGAATAAGATTTTAAATAAAAAAATTCGTTTTTTTTTTGTTTTAAAGATTTTAAAAGTTTATTAGAGGAACTTGATTGTTCAACATCAACAAATCGTGATAATGATCTATCTCAAACCAGTACTGATCATCTTATTTTTATTATATGTATAAATGTTTTAATATAAATAGGAAAAAAAAGTTCATTAATGAATAGTGAAAAACATCGTCGACAAGCTCTGTTAGGTAAATATTTAAATATCAAATGTAGTTGATGAATGTTCATCAATATGTTCGAATTCTTCAAATGAATCATTTGAATCAGATAGTCAATCAGAAGAATTAAGTTCAAATGTAAGACGTCGTTCTGTTCGTCGTGTATCATCATCATCAACAAATACATCTTCAAAAACAACTACTAAAGAACCACTTTATAAACGAAGAAGAATTAATCAGTCAGATAATCATGTTCGAATTTATTTTGTTTTTATTTATAGTTAATTAACAGAATTTGCTTTGTTTTCGTAGACTTCATCTGAATCTCAAAGAACAAAACGTTCAACTGGATTTAATTTAGCATCATCTGAGTAAAGAAAAAGAAATTATTTTGTTTTCATTGATAAATAATAAAAACTAAAATTTAGTATAAGTTGGGATTCAACTGATGATGAAATAAATCATTTATTAAATAATTCCAATCCATGTCATAAATCATCTAGTTTTGCTTCAAGAACATGAAATCATACATCACCATATTATAATTATGAGAAAAAACAAACTGTATATCTTTTTATATATATCAAAGATAAAATAAATATTTTTGATTTTTTTTTACAGAGAAATTCTCCAAATGGAAAACGATCAACAAATATAAATGGTTTATCAAAGTAAATATATATAAATAATATTATAAAAAATAATAATTGGTATAATATTTGAGGATAAATACCGTTGATGGATCAGAACATCAATCAACATCACCAAAAATAAATCGAATGTTAACAAGGCATCAACTTGTTGTACAACAAAGATCACCAAATAAAAAGCGAAAAAACAAATTCAAATTCAATGGGTGGTCAACTTGTTATTAATTAATTCAAACTTGTCATTTTCTTTTTTTCTCTGATTGATCTATGTGAAAATCTTTCATTTTATAAACATTCATCTTTAACTATCAACCTATTATTAATATATATCAATTTATTCAATCTCATTTCATTTTATACATAATTCAAACAAAAAAAACCTTTACCGAAATGAACTATATTTGTCAAATATTAGAAAATCAAAATCATTTGAAAGCAGAAGCTTCATTTTTCTTTTATATCGATTTATTCGTGTCTTTCTTTAAAAAGTTAGCTAATTTTCTTTTGATGAGTGTGTTAAGTCAAAAATGGTCATTAACGATAAAAGAACAAAGTTATTTTTACAGAAATCTATAGCTACTTGGATAATCGTTGTCGACTGTACTCATGAGACTCACTTATATAACTGATTCAAAAGACCAGGATCATTCTGATTTGCCTAGTCGAAAGAAAAAATTCAGACAATTAAAAAAGAAGGATAAGGAATAATTGATTTCGTTCCATGTCCAGATGCATGTGGAATGGTTGACACTAGACATGAGTCACGATTTTTTTTTTGTCTTTTGAACACTGAAGTATTTGAATGACTGCGAAAGAAAAAGAAATTTTCTGGTAACGTCTTTGTTTCAGATATTTGAATGGCACCTGCTCATCCAGTCTCTTACACTTGTATTCGATATTCACTTCTGACAGATCAGATACTTGAAAAATGCTCAAATTTATTTAATAAGAATTATGGAATCTGGAGCGATGATGCTCCCGTCCATAGCAACAACAAATTACAAGCCGGTACTCCAGTTAAACTTGGAGTGAAGCGTCTTCGTGAAATGATGCTTTTCAACGATGCTTGTTTTCTTGTTACTGCGGAGATTCGTTCATTTGATACTAATCAGTTCGAACTTATTGGTCATGCTTTCTGTACATGGACTAAATATGATCGATTAAATGGAAATGTTGTTTGGATTACTCAGTTAGTCGTTAGTTCTTCTTACCGAGGTCAAGGTGTGGCCGGAACCCTGCTTTCAATGGCTAAGAATAGTATTGAAGATGTTGTTGCCACTGGACTCGATACTTCTCATCCTCATGCCGTGATCGCTCTCCGCAACGCTTGCAATGGCATTCCAATCGACCTGAAATTTATAGCCGATCATGGAAAAGATATTATTCGAGCTTGCAACATTCCTTATTTGTCACATGCTCAATTCGTTGGTTCTATTTTCAACAATCAATCTGTTCTTCCTGTCAATAACGATCAACAACCTGTTTCACTGGTGAAAACAGACTTTTTCGTTGATCACAAGGAAGTCTTGGTAATTCTCAAAGATATTCGTGAGAAATGGAATCTTGGACCTCTTTTGGATGGCCACGAGTTTTTGGTCGTGTTACCAACAACATCCGTTCGTCATTCCAAGACTTCTTCCAATGGATCTTCATCTGATACTTCACCATAAGAAAGCAATAAAAGACATCTCAAATTTTACTGATGAACATTTGACTTTTTTTTGTACAAGATACATGTTATTATTCACTATTGAATTAGGATCTTGATTATTACTATGTCGAAAATAAAAATCTTTATTCGATTACAATCGACCGAAACCATATTCTTTCATTAATTATTTAAACATATTATCTGTTTATTAATATCAGTAGAATATGAATCATGACAAATTTTAACCATAAGGAAGAGGAAATTACACTTTTTTGTCATTTGAAATTAATTCATAAAACAACGAGGGTGCATATAATAGTGATTAGATGGAACTCGCCTTCAAAAATCTTTTATTCGATCATTATGTAAATAATAAAAAAAATTAATCAATGCTCTCTCATCTCGATGTCTTGAATAACGATGAGGTGTAGAAACGAAAAATATTGGATTGAGTTGTCAAGTAAGAACAAAGAAAAATTAAGTTATGTATTGCTGCAGACAAGTAGATGTTTTTCTCATTCCAGTCGTTTAGACTTCATTCTACAGAATTTGTCTAGAAAGTCACTGATTGATTTACATTATTATCTTTTTTTTTCTGTTTTGTTTTAATATATTGTACTATTTATGTTTGGTCAGTCATAGTCACGAAAATAACATTCCTTCTGCGCTTTTATGTTTTTATTTTTGCCTAAAATATCTCATTTAATCAATAATTTTCAAGGCTTTTTATTCTTTGATTCTTCTAGATAAGAAACTTTCATTTCGATATATATTATAAGAGAAATGCCTTTCTTTTTTTTTTTTGAATATTAAATTAATGTCAATTATAATTGTGTTCGATGTATGTACAGACTCAATTTGAATTCTTATTTTAGTTAAACGAGTGATTTGCTGTTTCCTATAGATATACAGATAGACATTTAGTTTTTCATAAAATTTTCAAGTTTATTAATCGAAGAAAAACGAATAAGAATTACCAGCAATAGAAATCGCTTCTTTTTTTTTGAAAATCTATTTAAACAGCATTCTATTCAAAATTAGATCTAGAGACAGTTTTCATTCATCAGTTCAGATGAACTGCTCAAAAGAACTGGTCTATCCGAAAAAAGTTTGTTCTTATCAGCAGAAAAAGTTTGTTTTATTATTGGGAAAAACTCCAAAATAGAACATGATTGTTCTTTTATTGGAAAAGTTTTCCGAATGATAGAATAGTAGTTTCATTCTATTGATGCGATTAAAATTTTTTTCTGACAGATTAGTTCTATCAGAAGAGCTGTATGGGTGCTTGTAGATTTTTAGCAAGAATAGACTAACGTCCATATTCTCGTCCACATTCGTATAATAGCCCTATGTGTCTTATTTCCTTCTCTTAGATTCCGTATAAGTTTTCTGCAACGAGAAACATGCCACGATTCTAAAACACCAAACGAGGATGATATGTAACACGACGGCACTTACGAGGCAGCGGTAGATACATCACATTGGCGTCGATAAAGAAAATTTTATTTTTGCTAATTTAATTTCTCATATTTGTTACATGGTACTATTTATTAAAAAGTAGCGTTTCATTTATTAATAATTACAGGTGTACAACAACAAAAAAAAGCTGTAAAATCATAAAAAAATGATTTTATTTGAGAGTAATATATAACTAAATATGAAGCCATCTTCAAAGGATATTTTGTTGTTCTATTCATTTAATTATTTTATCCTTAAATTTGTGTCAAATTTTGATAAATTCTAACATTCTACTCATTGTCATTATAATCATGCCAACTCAGATCGATTTGATCGTAAAATCGTAGATACATATTGCATCGAAGAAATAAGGAAGTGATGGAGTCGAGAATGGCATTTATCATCCTATGGAATATCGATTGTCGTCGTTATTATCGAGAATTTTAGAAGAAAAGTCTGGAGTTATTCTGATTATCGAAATCAGATAGATGCAGGTAAAAAAA